TCCGCTCCTTGAAGCCGAGGACCGCACCTCACATGCATCGTTGTGATTTTCAATGGGATGCCTCCCATCATATTGAACACCACAGAGCAAGCTTCAATGCTTTGCATTTCAGCACTGGTGCCCCCACCTCTCCCACTCAACGTGTCAGCACGAATAACATCATCATTCGCGGAGACGAAGCGATCTCCGGGTTTTAAAAAGGTTTCCTGCAGCAATACCACATCTATAGACTCATCCAAAAGGGCCTGGTGAAATTCTCGTTCTTTACCGACGTCTCTCAACCCACAAAAGTTCCAGAACATAATTTTGAGAAAAGCAGGCTATACTTAGCCATCTATAGGCTGCAGAAAGATCGTTTGCAACGCCTGTGTTGCGCTTATCAGAGGAGACTCCAAGAGATAACCTGGCTTCGAAAACACAACATAACTTTTGTTCCCAAAAACGATAATCATCCAAACTTGCCACAGGCTTGCCCAGTAGAGGATTTTTGGGCTGGGAAGGTTTATCATGGAGGCCGGGAAGACCAAGATGAAGATGGCGAATTTACGAGTAATCTGAATTCCGTCCAGGACCTCATGAGAGACACTTGGCCTGGTTGAGTTATAATTTATGATAACCAGTTGGTGTTTACATAAATTTCTTCATTAAAAAAAAATCCGATAAATATTTTGTGCCAACACTTTCAGGACATACGCTATCTCAATGTCGCGCTCTTTAATTAAAAAAAAAATACTTCGAAGAAATTACAATTTCAATTAAGGCTCCTTAAGACTTAACAAATAAACATCACATGTTTCCATGTTTACACCTACTAGATGAACAATATGGGCGAATATTGAAACCTCTTTTTTTTTCGTTATCCGTTTTCCGTGAAATGCCCCTTATGTTACCCCGCTTAAGTCTCTAAAGCATCATAACCGAATGGATCCGCCGTTGAACTGCGACATAATCTGGCCGGATTCCAGCAATTCCGATGGCACGTTTGTTTATAATGGGAAAATGTCACGTGTGCGTTCGTGATACGAATTGCGGTTCCCGACATTGCGAAATTCGCAAATAACCGCCTGCCCGGCGCGTATTAACGCAAAATATCCTGCGTCCCGCTAACTGTAGACCGGGATCCCATGTGTAATGACCGTCATTAATTGGGAGGCAGGTATTTCGAAAAAATAGGTATAACAACAAACAGCTTTATCAGGTAATCTGATTTTGAAGATTATTTCGAATATCGACTGTGATTGGGGTCAACGTGGGCTATTCTAGAATTCCAATTTTCGATGGTCATGATAGCACTCTATTTGCTACCTGAAATTTAAACCCATGACATGGTTTTACAAGCTTTTATTTAGCTTGACCTGATTGTACAGGGTGGCCCATCCATGTGTGGACGGAATATTACTCAACAAATACATTTTGGGAAAATCTACTTATGACATGTTATACATGACACTCGAGGGCACATTTCTGAAATATTGGCAATTATACAGGGTGTCTCAATTTTGACCTACATATCAAAGTTGTGATTTTTTAAATGGAATACCTCAAATTTTATTGCGTATTTGAATATACCAATTCAAAAGAGGAAGATTGATATAACATTCTATGGGGTTTTGGTAATTAGCTACTATAGTTTTTACTATATTCCACTGCTCCACTTGATTGACGTAGTGTGGAAAATGTTTCCGGCCTTGGATGTCGCATATTAGGGCACCGTTGCTTATAAATGCGAGATGCTAGGAAACTATTTCTTTGGGCTTCGCCCAAAACGAACACCATATTCACCATTTCTTCTTTAGAAAAATTCATTTTCAAACACGTTTTTATTATAATGCTCGCAAAGCTAATTTTGACAGTTTGTAACTTATCAACAATTTATTTGTTTCCAAGGATAATGCGATATTTTGGAGAATTAAGCCGTTCCATGAAAGACGTGCTAATAACTGAAAAAATAGCCGTAAGAACCCTTATGCGTCTAGTATCAAAAAAAAGCTTATAAAAAATTGAATTCAAACTTGCATTTGAAATTTTTGAGGAAAACTACAATTTGCGTTATTGACCACCCTGTATGAGCAAAAATTAAAATTTGGAAATGTAAAAAATAAGATAAAAGCTGAGGTGTCTATAAGTTTTTTCTTGATACAAAATTCAGAACTCCAAATTTCAAAATGGCGGACCGAGGGGTTGCCGAATTGGGGGGTTTTTCTAGACAAGGCACCTTATATCTCTGTAGCTAATTACCAAAACCCCATAGTATGTAATATCAATTTTCTTCTTTTGAATTGGTTTATCCGAAATATGTAATAAAATTTGAGGCATTCCATTTGAAAAATCACAACTTTGATATGTACGTCGACATTGGGACACCCTGTATAATTGCCAATCTTTTAAAATGTCATGTATAACATCCCATAAATAGATTTTCCCAAAATGTATTTGTTTATGAGTAATATTCCGTCCACACATGGATGGGCCACCCTGTATATTGGTATGTATGTGTGAGATAAATCTTGGAACTGAATTTTGAGACAGTGAATCTTACAAAATTGAACTGAAATTTTGTAAACACTATCGGTTAGTGTGATAATACAAAATGAATAAGCTGCCGCTACTTTGAATCCAATATGGCGGATGTTACAAAATGGCGATACAGCATTTCCATCGTAACACCTATGATACTGGTATCAAATGAAAGGGCTTGATGAGAGAAACACAATAAGTGAAGTGACATCATTCCAAATCTAATTTCGCGACTTCCCTGAGAAGTCGTTTGCAATTATCATGGTCATCACTATATGTTTAGCGAGAAAAACACGATAAGCAAATAAAGACCTTCTTAATTCCATTTGATGATTGCCGCAACATGTCGATTTATCATATCAGACGAAAATACCCCTGGTTTGCGAAATAATTGTAAAGTCTGGTTTTATTGCTGCAAGTTGTTCAAGGAGGTGTTCAAAACATGGGCGCATCAACTGGGCACACCAATTTTTGTGGGAAAACGTTTTATTCGACAACAAAGAATGAGAAATCGTGTTTTTTGTGATTCAATCGATAGTTGTAGCAGGAACGGAAAGACTCTCCATACAAAATTTTTAGGTATTAATGAGACCTACAAAATTAGACGACACGTAAAAAGTTTCAACTAATAGAAAAAAATTTATAGCCGAAGACTGAGTCAAACTGCAGGTTTTGACACTTGTTGGTGATGCTACCATCGTTTCTTGCAGGTAGTACTGGAAATTCTTTAAATTCATAGAATTCGTACGTCTAAATAACCACAACAAAATTGGAGTAGCTTGGTCAAGTAGTTTTTGAGAATTTCTAATTGTTTATCCCAAAACACCTGTTTCCCGGCCATCACTACTAGTTTATTGAGCAACATACAGGGTTAGCTCAAAGGGCATTTTATAGCAAAAAATACTAGTTTCCTTGCCGATATGGATCGCAAATCATTTCGGAAGATAAATATTATTTTATGCAAAGAAGAATGGGTTGCGTTTTTTCTTCTAAACAAATTCAAACATTTCGTATTTGTTTGAAAAATTTCAAGTAGTTGCGTGAAACCATCGTCGCATTACCAACAAGTACCAAGACCTGCAGTTTGCCATGGTTTCCGGCCATAACTTTTTTGCTATTAGTCGGATCGATTTACGTGTGGTCTCATTCTGTATGTCTCGTAAATACCTAAAAATCTTATGGGAATAGTTTTTTCGTTCTTTCTAACACTATCGACTAAAATCCCAAAAAACACGTTTTCTCATTCTTTGTTGTCAAATAAAAAGTTTTCCCACAAAAACTGGTGTACCCATTTTATGCGTCCATGTTTTGATACCCCCTTGAACAACTTCCACCAATAAAATCAGACTACAATTATTTCAGGGAAATTTGCTAATATGATTAGACTATAGCATGATTTATATGGTATATGTTAAAATTTTATAATGGAAGTTAAGTCAGAAGTTTTATAGAGCCCTACTGATAAAATATATGAAGAAACTATCAGACTAGCTATTTGACATAGGGTAAACCGAGGAAGATGGCCATAGTCTAATGGTCTGCAATGTTTTTAATAATTGGGTCTTAACAAAAAATATTATACTTGAAGTAAAGTGCCAAAAATTCGGTTTTTCATTTTATACTTGTAAAATGTTCTAGGTGCCATGACCAACAACATAGATAAAGCGCTAAATACCATGCCTATTATATTGTATTGAAAAAATCCCAACAGTGTGCGCGCTTGTCAATGGCCATAACGCTGCCTGTAAAAAATGTGCTAAGTGCCAACAAATACAATCTTGTTTATTTATATAAATAAACTATATAAATATAAATGTTATTGTTTTTATGGATTTATTTAGTTTCCAAAGGGTATTTCGATGAGATCAATCAAAAATATATAGTGTCGTATCATTCTTTTATGAGCAGGGATTTCGGTCAGACTGAAAAGCGAAAAAGGCAAGAAGAATGCAAGGTATCTATGGATCTGGTGAGAATGATGATAGAGCTTTGGAAAAAAACGAAGATTTTGAAGAAAAATGTTACTATTGAAACTATCGCAAAAATAACCTGACCTGCCAAAGTAGAATTTCTGAAGAAAAAAAAAATAAGATTTGCTGACAATGATTCCTTATTTGAAGGAAGAAAATAGCCAATTTTATGGATCTATTGAATACTAATATATATTCATTAGAAGCTAATTTTTTATGTTTTTCCATTATTATTTTGATTTGTGTAATGACGCTTGGCATTATTCTATGATTTTGTAACTGTTGTAATTTTTTCTGCTATTTTTTACAAAAAGTTCCCGAAAATATTAAGTACACAGAAAAATACTTACTTGAATAAACATATGTTTAATTTTCAGTTTTTTTTTGATTGTAGAACGAAAAATATTGTTTATCTCAAAATAATAATTCTGGCACATTGTTTGCTTCAAGTCATCATATAATATTAATTAAATAACTTATAATAAAAAATAAATAAAATAAAAATAAAATGGACTAAGAATGTAAAAACATTTTTTCCGATTGGAAATACTTAAAGGATAATAAAGTTCCTTCAACTCAAGTTTGGAAATAAAAGTGTGTTACATCGTTTTTCCATCCTGCTGTCAGAACGTAACACGCTTTTATTTCAAAACTGAGATAAAGGCGACTAATTATCGTTTATATTTCCAATCGCGAAGAATTAAGAACAGCTAAATACAAGCTTGTTTTAAAAAAATGTTTCATTCATACGTTTCCGACCGACAAATTTGCAGCATACAACTTGCATGTCACCTTTACACGTTGACCTTGTGGCTGTGTCTATGAATCTTCAATCATCGAAGTCCAAAATCGCTTAAATAACCTGTGGTAAGAAGAAGATCATATGTACAAAAATGTACCACTAGGTGGTGACTACTTGCTACTTATTTTGAATTCATTGACATGTGGTGGACATTCCGTAGTACACGAGCTCTCTTACTATTGTTTAACGTGTTAATAGACGACAAATGGTGATTAATAAAGGAAGAAATATCCTTTCATGCAGAGGATTTAGTTCGGATATAGTTTATACAGGAATACGAACAATTGGTGAAATTGCGATTCTACCAAGCGATCAATGGACCTGTGTATATGGAGAAATAGCAGCATACATCTCTCTTGGAAAGGTGCTATTGGTGTAGAATTCATCTAAAACCTACACGTAGTAGGAGCAATGGTGATGGGGTAGCGAAGCATGGCAACTAGGTGTCCTCAGACCTTTTCTGATCACCCCGTTGTACCAGAACATCCTTACCTACTGGTAAGTAGCTAGCTCCAGCTCTAACCGTGCGATATACATAGGGTAAGCCGAGCTAAGATGGCCATACTTTTTATTATTGGTTATACTGTTTGATATATGGAAAGTACAACCTTGAAATTTTGTATAGAGTAACTCCTTCAAGGTAAGTTGATTACCTTTAAAATTCAATGCGAGCAGCAAAATAGTTTTATCAATGATTCTCATGTCATAAAAAGTGGCATTTGACCATCTCTTCCACAGTCTGTAGGCGAGATGGTCATACCTTTAAGGTGAGATGGCCAGGTAGATTTTATTTATTTTTTTCGCAGGAAAATAAAATACTTAGGTCATATTAGACGCACACAACACTTAATTTTTACATAAACGATAAAAAATAAAATGGGAACACACCCAAAGTGCCGCATACATGTTTATTACAAACTAAGAGCAGTTTACTTTGCAATATTAGAAGAACACAAATCACAAACAAAATTTGCAGGGGTACTTTGCCCGCTGCATAATTTGTGAACCCATTTTCCACAGTAAATGCACCTATATCAAGTTTCACCGCTCTTCCCAAACTCCTGGCAGACTAAGCAGATGTCCACAACGCCGATGTCATTGTCATTCAGGTTGTTTTTTTCTATTTTTTTGTTTTCTTTGCTCAAAAGATTAGCGAGGGGTCCTTCGTCCGATTCTGTAAAACAGCTGTTAATCTTTCTTTCCTTGGTTCTACTGACTTTAGGTTTATCATCAGTTTTTCTTTTCTTGGTTCCTCGCCTTTTCCTACTTTTCTCTTTTTGAACTTCTTCCGACAGGACTCAATGTTTGATGTACAAGTCAACTCTGAAGCAACTGATCTGGACCGTCTTTTTGCAGCTTCAACCCTTAATCTAGGCACGGGCGATATAACTGCCAGCATTTTACTGATAGGGGTTACAGATTTTGACAAGTCCCTTCTGGTTGAATGTTATTCTCGGCAATGTTTTTTATATATGAACTAATATCATTGTCTTCATTTATCAAAGTATGCTCATCAACTTGGTCATCACCAATATTTTCTAACGTTCTATCTTGAGCATCGGATACGTTTTGAGTCCCAATTTGAACTGCCAAGTCTGGTGTTTCAATTTGAGCATCTGCTATAGCAAACGCGTAGTCTGGTATGGCATCTGGATTATATGTGAAGATACCGGTACTTCTGAAATCACTAATAGCATTATTAATACTTGCAGATTTTCTCCAGGTATCAGATAATAATTCTCCAAACTGGTATCGTGCCAGGATGACGTTTCAACCAAAGCCTGCAGTTTGAATAAAATGCATTTTTAACAGACTTGAAAACAGCCCTATCTAATGGTTGTAAGATATAAGTGCAATGACTAGGAAAACAGCAAAATTATGTCATTTTCTTTCGCATACTCCAGCATTTCAACAGAGGTAGAATGAGACGTATGCCCATCTAGTAATAGAAGTGTTTTTCTGGGAGTGAAGTGTTCCTTCAACCAAGACAAAAAAATTTGTGAATTCATGTATGCTGACTTCGGTGACAGAAAAAGCTTACTCCCAGGTGGTAGGTTGTCTTCAAATTCTATTTAGATATTCTTACCCTTTATAATGACTGCTGGGGGCAAGAATGTGCCTTCAGCATTTCTGCAAGCTACTAAGGTAATGGTTTCTCCCTTCTCAGAAGAGGTGATGGCGGAAACACTTTTTGAACCTTTTTCAGCTAAAACTTTATCGAGGCGATTGTTCAGCTGGAGACCTGATTCATCCATATTAAATATATTCATCGGTTTGTCAAATAACTGATTTTCCTCCAAGACCTTTTGCAACAAATCAAAATATTTTTTTACTGCCTCACGGTTCATAGATTGACTTCTTGGTAGAGAAAGACCTTCGGATTTCCTAATAGTAATTGTGGGGTTTCGCCTCAGAAATGATTGCAGCCAGACGTGTCCAGACATTTCGCTGTTGGGGATAAATTGGTGCTTAAATCCCAATTGATTGGTGAACTCGTAAGCAAGCCTGCGCACATCCTGCCTGGTTAAGGCAAATCCGCTTTTCTGCATATTTTTGATATGTCTAACCAACCTCATCTCATTGGAAGTACCCAATAAAGACTCAGGGCCCAGCTTCCCTTTTCTATCGTTATTATGTTTACGCCTTCTTTCCAAGGTCTTGCGAGGAATTTGAAATGATAAAGAAGCTCTTCTAACGGACATTAAATCATCTTTAACTGCTGCCATAGCATTTTTAAGGTTATTATTCCTTGATTATTGAAATTTTTTCGCACGTACACGTTTGGCATCTAAAAAAATATATCACAAGTGGGTAACTCCGAATATACTCCCAACAAGACGAAAACAATTGATAGGTTTAAAAAAAAGAAAAAAATAAGTAACACGTAGTAGAGATGGCCATATGGCCATCTTTCCTTTAAAAAGATAGGGCTATCTCTCCTTATTGTATAGGATAGATGGCCACCGTGTTTACTAAAATCCACGCGACCGGTGGATAAAAATGTGAGGTTAGGTTACATTCAGAAAGTCTAGCGAGAACGTTTATGCAAGAAAAAATGCGATATATACGGTATTTCCGTCAGAATTACAGTTTAATTAGCATAACACAAAAGGTTTACATAATGCTTATTTTATATTATCCTTTTACTTACGTTTTTATCTTGGTTTTGCCCACAATGCCACCACAACCGACCCATACGATGCAGCTGACAGCTGACTACAGTAATGTACAATGTGCGCCACCTGTCAGGAAGCTAGCGAAATAAAGAGACTGGGCCGTATATCCTTTATGGCCATCTTTCCTCAACTTAGCCTACAGGGTGTTCATTAGAAAACTTCCCACCACGGATTTATCGAAAACCATTGATTAAAAGAAAAAACGCCGAGACACGTCAAAGGGGACAACTTTTATCTCAACGGTCAGAAATGCAACCTCATTCATTAGTCACTAAACCCAAATGATTCGAAGAGACTGGTACCCCATTCCGTGCAATACTTTTTGTCTACAGAACGGACGATCAAATGTCATCAACTCTTGGTAAGAGTAAGGTTTAGATGCGTTAGAACCCTGAAGTCTCACTGCTTGCTATTATTTATCAATTTGAGGTCCCCCTGCCTCTTACTAGGAATACCACAAATCAAATCTTTTCCCCTCATTTAACATAAAAAATGTAAATTGACGGTTTAAGAAGATCATGGATGTATCTCTAAATACACGCTCTTTCCTTGCATAAACAGGGTTTTCAAATTTTGCGAATTTATTTGGTGGTTCGCAACCTTGCGTAATACTTCTTGATCTCATGTGACGTGACAGCAACGTGTTGTGTTCCCGTCTTAAATTTTCAATCTCGCCGCAGTCTGAAGCATCTAAAAATCACCCGTTGAGATAGAACAAATTACAGCTTGACTCTATCATTTTAGAAATTAAATCCCCGAACCAATTTTATAGGTGGTGAACAAAAACCAATTTCAAGTTTAATCAGTTTCTAGCAACTTCGCGACCTATACGTAGTAATTACATCTGCCTTTGTCCATGTTAGGATTAATTCTTTCGACGTCAGCTACGATAAATGTACAGCTGTGCGACAGAGAAGAGTAGTTTAGTTGTGACGTTATGATGGTGGTTTTTGGACTACGCCATTCTGTACTTAGAATGAATACTGTACATTTTTTTCGTCCATACAAAAATCACTGAGAAAAAGCGTTGTCAATTTTCAGGTATTAGCAGTCTCATTACGCATTGTCGCCGCGCCTTGCTTATTTATTCCGTTCAAAGTAAGGTAAGGTGGGGTAAGTGAGTAGTAAAATTGTGAAAGCTCGCATGAATCATATGTTTCTAAAAACAGATTTACGTTTTCGGTTTCCACAATCTGAGTAATCTGATTAAGGTACTATTTTGCTATTTTGACGGCTGAGAAATCATAAAATTATATTTCCGGAATTTATTATAATTATTTTTTTAAAACAATGCCCATACTACACCTTACCCCTAATAATGGGGCAAGTTTGTATACAGTTGTGTGCAGCCATATAGAGTAAATGTTTTTCCGTCTGGGACAAGAGTGTAAAACTGCCTACTTTTTTATATATTTTGCTGCCATCAAACTCTTTTAGAAAAAAATACTTAAGGCTATGTGAACTTTTTATTAAACTATTCTTATAAAAATATATCATTTAGAAAACATTGTAATGTGCAAAAGAAACTCCAAAACGATAAAGGCCTCTTTTCGCAACAGTTGGAGTTGGAAGTAACATCACGATGTCGTTTCTGGGGACGACTGCAATATCTTCAGGATCTGCCCAGATAAAACTATTCGGAACAGCAGGATTTAAAGTAGGGACTCTTCTGGTAAATTTAACTTCTACGTCTTGACCTTCGTCAATCGATATAACTTGTCCCACGTAATAGCGTCGAGTTTTTTTGGTTTCAAAAACTACAAAAAACCAATCCTTGGCAGATATACTGGATATATCTTTATCGATTTCTTCAACATATTTTGCAAGTGACCCTTCTTCTCTAAATTCTTCTTCTATATCATCATCGCTCTCATTGTAAACTATTTCTTCGTCCGATGAGCTCTCCGATTCTACTCTTTTTTGACTGAACTTTTGGTTTATTGCTGTTTTCGTTCAAGCGTTTCATAGCTTCTGAAGATGTAATAATTTCTGCTCCACTAGCTACTTTTCTTCGGCGTTTCACACCTGTATTAACGTGCTGTTTTACATTAGACAGTAACAGTTCTTCGAAAGATGGTCCAGTATTTAAAGCAGATTTTTCTGCACATTCATTTGGCAGCATATTTGTTTCTGACTCTACAGTAGACGTGCTTGGTGCAGTAGACGTGTTTGGCACAGTAGACGTGCTTTGTACAGTAGACGTGCTTGGTACAGCAGACGTGCTTGTTACAGCAGACGTGCTTGGCACAGTAGACGTGCTTGGCCCAGTTTGCGGCTGTTCACCTCCTTCATGCAGGTTTCTTTGTGTATTCCACCTTTTTAGTGCCATCGGATCATAGCGTTCTTCAGGTAGGACTTGAGAATTAAATAGCAAGATTCCACCCTTCTTAAAACCATTGGAAATGATTTCCGGACTTGTTTCTCTCCAAATTTTTCCTACCAATTTACTGAACTGTTTCTTCGGAATTTTATATCCCTGGTTCTGTCTTTGCCTTTGTGCTAACATAGCGTCCCATCTTGACTTTACAGAGCGAAATCCGGTTAAATCTAATGGTTGTAACAGATGGCTCGAATGCGGCAGTAACTTCAGTATTGTTACGTTATTGTCTATTGCCAATTTTATGACACGTTCGTCAACATGGGATACGTATCCGTCGTATATGACTAAAACTGGTCTTTTATCGCCAAGTTGCTCTAAGAAGATTTTCCCAAAATAACGTACAAATAGGTCTGCCTCCATCCATCAAAACAGTAATATTATCTCTACCCACACCCCCTGTAGTTCTTGAAGATGATGCTCCTTTTTCCCCCACAACTATAGTCTTTGATGGATCCAGACAAAATCCTGTTTCGTCCAAGTTCCAAATTTGATGTGGTTTGTCATGCAAATCTAAGTTTGTTAGAGTTGTATTCAATAAATCAAAATAATCACTCATTATAAATGGGTCCATGCACTTTCGGTGAGCATACTCTACGGACTGTGGCTTCTTAATCGATAAGTTATGTCGCTTTGAAAATGAAAGGAACCACTTCTCACCTAGTATGCCGCCTTTGAAAGGAGTTTTAAGTTTATTTATTATATATATTGTTATCACATAATCTCCTACAATTCGCAATACCTCTTTGCGACTTAAACTCTAGGCGCTGAAGAAAGAAACTAAACCCAAACAAATACACGCATATTGCTCGTGAGTGAGTGTTTAGGCGCAGGAGACATTACAGGACCGCATCAAGATATTATGGGTAGTCATCAAAAATTTCATACAAGATAATTATTATCTTTTACAGTAAATTTCAGTTAGAGATTCACAAATGAGTTAACTACACTTTTTAGTTATTAGTAAGCTGCGCGCACTCATTCAGAAGAGGAACTTGAATCTTCTGAATCGTTTAAATGAATTATTAGAGGTTCAATTTGGGTATCGATGACATTGTCCAAATCCCACATTTTGACCTCAACCTTCTCCCGAACGTGGCGGATACAGTTTTTCCATTCCTCTGCCGTAACTCTATTGACTGCGATGTGAAAGAGATTTTTAACATCAGAAAATTTATAAGTATTATTATTCGACGCAACGTATTGCTTTATGTTGGCCCAAATCAGCTCAATAGGGTTCAGCTCACAATGGTAGGGTGGCAGTCTCAAGACAGTTTTATTTTGTTTTTTGGCCATTTCGTCGATCATTTTAAAATCGTATTTGTATTTATGTCTATTGACTATACTTATCAATTCACCCTTGACCATTGTTTCATCAAAATCGATCTGTTTTGAGGCCAGCCATTGTTGTATGTTTGCTTTTTTAGTTGCCATTGTGGGAATTTTTTCTATTTTTCTAGAATGGTACGGGGCATTATCCAGTACAATAACAGCGTTATTCTCCAGCTTTAGTAACATTTTGGAGAACCAATTTTCAAAGGAATTGCCGTCCATCTCCTCATGATAGTCCCCTGTCTTTTTTGATTCAAAGGCCCACAGTGCTTCGGGAACAAAGCCGTCTTCACTACCTACGTGACAAATGATCAGCCGTTTGCCTTTTCCTGGAAATAAATTATTCCTTACACTATGGATTGATTAAATTTGAAGGAATGAGGCAATTGAGTTCATTTAGCTGAATTTAAGAGTCACGGAATGCTGATCAAAAACTGAAAAACGTAGAAAATTGAAGTTTGCAATTTCTCAAAACCCATTCAAAGCAAATTGACTGCACCCAAAAATGATAATAAATTTCAAAATAACGCTTAAAAGAGGGTCGAAGTTTTTTTCCTAATGACTACACTGCGAATGCACCATTTTTGGAGAATATCACACATTATCTGCTATCACAGCATATTATTTGCCCGAATTTATCAAAATTAAATTGCCGGATAGATGAAGGAGCTTACCTGCAGGATTTTTGAATCCAGCCGAAAGACCGTCTAGAAAAGCCTGCCTTGATGATGTTACTGATTTGTCGACCCAAACTTTCGCTTGAGTATGTCCAGCATTCACCCACGTTTCGTCCAAATAGTAAATTTTTCTTTTTTCATCGCGAAACTTCCGAATCTTCCTAAGGTATTCCCTTCTCCACACAACAATTTCTTCTTTCTCTATTAACATACTGTTTCTTCCCCGTTTCAAGAATCGAAAATTAAGTTCCTTCAAAAGTTTTCGGAATGTGGTTCTTTTAAATGATGGAAGATCCTCATCAGCATTAACTAATCTTAATATCTTATCTATTGTAGGTATCTCATTTCGGAAGAAAAAATTATGCACTTTCCTCCTGATGGCAGTTCTGTCAAAGTCATCTACTCCGTCCGTTATCCTTTTTCTTGCAGGATACGGTTTTGGCTCAGAAAGTGAGTGAGTGCTCCTATATTCCTTAATGATCCTATAAACACTGGACCGACATACTCCAGAAATATGTGCTACCTTACATATAACTTCGTCCACGACCAAATCGGGTTTTTCTTGAATTTGGTTTTTGTATATATTTAATATTATTTGTTTTTCATTTGCACTTAAATGTAGCTTCTTAGCCCTTTTTTTGGGTGGGGTTGCGCTGATGTCAACCACTTCGTCGGCTGTATCTGTGTCAGACATCGTATCTTAGGCAATATATAAACAAAACGTTCCACTCGCGGAAAACGAGTATACGCTACTGAATGCGTAATGCGTATGCAATGCAATCCTGTGCGTGAATTAACTGTTAGATGCCTGTCGTGTCATCTACAATCACGTTTACAAGTCCAAACCTGTGCAGATTCGTAGAGCGCCGACGACTGCTAGTGACCTTGAATTTGTCTGTAGATCGATGTTACTCCAGTCAATTTAGGTTCAAAGTGGATGTTTTCTAAACCAATTTGTTGTTCCTACATCAAAAATATATCGATGATGTTTTGTACTGGGAGCTCATGAAAGATCAAGGTAACTTATTTTAACAGTCATCCTTTTTCTAGTCTCAAGATGACACGAAAAAGGGCCTGTGGATTCACTAGAAATACACTGCCGAGGATGTTTAGACCTAAAGTGACTGGAGTATATCCGTGGATGCTTTCGAGGGATCTGTTCACGTGCTGATCACTGTTTACGTTTAATGTCTTTCTTCAGCGCCCAGATTATAGTCCCCATCCCCGTTTTTGCATGGTCATTATACCTTCAGCCAATTTAATTTCATCTTCCAAAGGAATTGCAGTAGCTCGACCCATACTTTTGCTTTTGGCTCCTCGAATTCCTCTCTTGTGATAGCTCAACGTCATTTCAGGGATATGGTACTTTTTACTGGCTGCATAGGCAGTCATAACGCCATTTTTAATTTCGCTAAGTGCTCTTTCTAGAGTTTCTTTTGTGTAAGCTTCAGCTCTTTTACTTTTTCGAATATATAATGCGTTTTCACCCACTGAAACAAAAAAAAAATATTTAGCTGGGGTAAGTGTGTAGGTACTACACACATGCCTCAAGAAAATAATACACACTTTCCCCTCCTACTATTTTTAGCGGGGCAAGTGTTTAGTATAACGTATTTTTTTAAAAATCAACGATATGTAAAAAATTCTACGAATGACAAGAAAATATTACTAAAGCTTACCTGTTTTTTGAAAAAAATATTTTAAAGGTATCACTTATACCACTGATGTCGCTAGATTTCGAAAAGCCTGCGTACTCGTGTTAAATCGCCACACGACTGATGCAACCACATCACCGGTTTCTACGAAAATTTTGAATAATGCGCGACATCTATTAATGAATTACTGTACAATGAGACCTTCTTAGAGCACCGTATAAAAGGCAACTTCTTACAATAACAGAACTAGATTTTATTGGATGTCTACACTCTTGCCCCAGATACACACTTACCCCACTTTACCTTAATCGAACCGATCGCTCACCGCAGGGTTACCGCTGCTTGTGCCTATTATGAGAATTTACAAAATTCACGGAAGCTTCTATGATTTTTTCACCTTTTTAAAATATGTTGTAACCTGTCCAAAAAGACTAGACTTCTTTCATCTAAATACGCATTTTAGCGTGCATCATGGTCACACGCGCTATCCAAAGATCATAAATTATATTTAGGCGTGCATTTATTAGACGAAATTCTTGTTATAAACAATCATAGTGCCTATGTGCCTAAGATTCTAATTGCTAGCCTTGCAATGTAGGTCGATTTTGCGTCTGGAATGGAAAATATAAACAACACAGCAAAAGCTTTCAGGAACCATGAACAATGCAAAGATACTACATGAACTTTAGACTTTAGATCACGTGTCAGATTTATTTTGATTCTTATCAGTGCGTTTGTGTCAAGTAGATCAACTCTGCATTCCAGGTATTTATATTCCAATAATCTTGCTTCAAGCGTGACCATGTTTCGAGGGTAGTTTGCGACCTACTTTACAATTTGTCCTTCTTCTGACACTCATTTTAATTCATGAAATTGTGTGACGGTGTTAGTCCGTTAAGTCCCTTTGATAATTTACCAAAATTGGCCATTCAAATTCAGCTACTAAATTTAGTGCCGAGGACATTTCCGGCCAAATCTGATAGTTCAGGACTATAGGTCTGAAGCCATGGAGTTTGATAGTGAAGTTTCATATTTAGTGGAATGGATAAGCATGCGGATAAAGTGTTGGTACACTCGAGGTCCAGTACTTACTATTGCTACTAGAGCTTAGGATTATGATTGCTTCATCAGTAGAGGGTGACAGTTTTAAGAAGTCATTGATACATAAATTCAATATTTAATAAAAAGCTTCAGGGTCTGATTTGACTGTTCTTCAAGCAAAATAACAGAAATCGCAAGAGGCCTTCGAGGCGTAATATATTTCTTCTAACAAGTGTTTACTCCCTTTTATGAGGCAACATGTAGTAAAAGGATAAGAAACTTAGATTGTGTTCATCTATGAAACATGAGAGTGAGAACTCCTTTATTTTTAGGGAAAATATATACAAAAATTTTTGAACCTGATGCTGACACACTTTCTTTTTATAAGAATAATGTCAAACCTAATGTTTCCCTCTTTGAATTCGCTTTGGCGTCCACAGATCAAGTGAAAGATACTTTGTTTGGCTTCAAAACCAAAGCATTTGGTGCTGATTTGACAAATATCGAAATGCTGTTGTATTGCTGCCCCAAAATTATTCCTTCCATTACACATATCATTAATGAATGCATATTGCGTCGCCATTTTCCTTTTTGCTGGAAGCACGCTTTGATTGTGCCTTTGCTTAAAGTTGCTCAGCCATCTGAGCTCAAGGATTTGCGTAATATTAGTATATTAACAACATTGTCTAAATTGCTTGAATCAATAATGGATGTTCAGATAAGAGAACACTTAAGAACGAATAACCTCAGTATAGATACACAATCAGGGTTCCGTCCGGCGCATAGCTGTGCAACAGCATTGCTGGGAGTGGTGAATGATGTATTATGCAGTGCTGGCAAAGGTAACCTGACTGCCTTGAGGCTCTTAGATTATACGAAGGCATTTGACAGGATACACCATGACCTACTCTTAGGCCATGCTCCACTTTTACGGTTTCTCGGCCGATGCAGAGTCCCTAATGCGTAGCTACTTCAGCGATCGTCAACTGCAGGTAATGCTGAATGATAAGTACTCCACGCCATTGAAAGTGACCATTGGTGTTCCTCAGGGCTCTATTCTGGGTCCGCTAATGTTCATTATTTACACCTCTAATCTATACCTCAGTCTTCACTCTTGTAAAGCTCATTTTTATGCAGATGATACACAAGTGTACTTATCATTTCCTCCAGCTCAAACATTGATCTAAGTACGTATGCATTCCCTTTTAAATTGCTCCCAATGAGCCAATTATAACTGGTATAACTTTAGCTTTTACTTTCCACATGCGCTGTACTTCTATCTGTAAATCTTTATATTTTGAGATCTTTTTTGCCTCCTTGATAGTAATGTTCTGATCGTCTGGGATAGCTACGTCCACAAGTATGCAAGTTTTATCTGACCTATTATGAATGACGATATCGGGACGATTAGCTGATATGGTGCGATCAGTTATAATTGAATAGTCCCACAGTACTGTGCATTCGCGTGTGTTGATTACCGGGGGCGGGTTATGACTATACCATGTTCGAGGCACGTCAATCTGGAGTTGTTTACAAACTTTCCAATGAATATATCTAGCAACCCTATTATGCCGATGTAGATATTCAGTTGCTGCCAGAACTGTGCACCCTGTAAGGACGTGCTGAATTGTTTTCTCTCTTGTGTTGGACCTTCTACATCTGCTATCGACTGGTTTGCCCAGAATCTTGCGCTGGTGGTACCTTGTGTTTAGGGCTTGATCTTGGGCTGCTATGAGCAAACTTTCGGTGAACTGCGCAGCCAAGATAGCGTGTTCTGTCTATCTATGTAAGGCTTTTCCAGACAATGGAAGAATTGATTATTATTATTATTATTATTATTATTAACTGCTTATCGCCTATTGGGATGGGAAGCAATGATATCCTGGAATAATCTTAGGGGTCTGTGTGAAAACGAAAAATCCCATATCACAGTATAATAGCAGTAATCGTCTAGACACGGTTCTAAATTAAAGCCAAGCAAATGGCGACGATTTGCCCTCTGGCCATTCTGCGAGCAAATCCCTTGTAAATTCGAAAGACGGATGGCCTCCGAGCTTGAAACATACGGCAAATACCTGCGAAATAAAGATTTATTTCATCTGGCCGCGTTTCGATTTGTCTCGGTTTGTGTCCCTCCTCTACTTCGCCTTTTACTCAGCCTCAAAAAGAGGATGTATTCGTTAGCCTGGAAATTTATTCCCGCCGTTTGTTGTGTTTCGGGACATCTTCGGTCCGGAAAATTGAAATTTAAGGCGGCGTGAAATATGATTTGTGACCGCTCGGACATTATCGTTACACAGGTATTCTTGAAATTATGGACGGGCGGCGAACGTTGAAAAACAGAGGCTATTGCAAGTTATACGGAGGGTGTCCTGAGAGTTGGGACTTTTATTTTCACCGTCAACTACGTTTGCAATACCAAAGCTAATTTGCGGTTAAGCACCCAACTAACAATTATCACTCCTATTAGAGTTTGATTATACAGTATTCCTTAAACAGCACTGTATACTGTAAGAACATTAGCAAAACCCTCTTAGAACAGCTATACAAGCGGAATGGGCACACCTAATAGGACACTTCAGTCATTTAAGAGGTTGTATAAGCGCTGCAGGGAACAGTTATAAAACAAAAGTGTAAGCCTCTTGCAGCCGCTATAGGTCATTTGCGTCAGTGCAAGATTCAGTTTTTGTCAACTATACAACTATTCTGTTACGTGATTCTACTTTATTGCAACCAAACTATTTCTTATGTATTGTATAGACGAAGTGAAGAATATATAACTAACACATTACAGACATCTTGTTTACTTACATATCGGCCATTGTGAATTTCATACACAGGTATACTTCTAACTTCTACACTGTGATATAGGACTATTGAATTACTTGCGCAGCAAATTTTATTGTGATTATCGTACAAATTAGTTACCCTAATTTCTACGGGCTTCCTATTTGATTCATATTTTGACAATGATCAAAAGTATGTCTAGATTTTTAAGATGGAAAACTGAACTTATCTGCGTTAAATCTTCCACAAATCCTGTATTTAGACACAATTACACTAATGTTTATCTCTTTATATCTGTAATTTCGAACTGAAACATAATTATTTAATATTGAATAGAGGAATAAATGTTTGCCCAATATGGCGGGTGGTTGTGTACAATCAAGGCATCGTCCATGTTGTCTTTAGGTTATAGGAGGGAACAACATCGAAGATAAAATTTGTTTTTCGAACATCTGCGGGATCAACAGCAACATTGATGCTGTTCATCACTACCTGCAATGCAATCGTCCCGCCGTGCTTTTCTTGGCGGAGACAAAAATCTCAGAGGCTGCACCGATTAACCATCTCAAGTTCCCAAACTACGAGGTGCACTCCAATCTGAGGAAGAACGGGGGAGTTGTGGCTTTTGTCCGCAGCAGTCTTTCCTGCTCCAGGGATCTCTCTTTGGAATCAGACCGGAAGGACATTCTGTGGCTTCGCCTCAACTCCAAAACATCACCCAAATGTATTTGCTGCCTTTATCGCTCTCCCTCGAACCATAACTGGGATGACCTACTCGAATACCTCGCCGTCCAGATCGACTTCCTGAACATCAATCACCCCGCTTCAGAGGTAGTTCTTGTCGGTGATTTCAATGCCCATAATGAGCTTTGGTTGGGCTCAAATAAGACCGATGCAGCAGGTCGTGCAGTCGAAGCGTTCGCTCTTACTCAAGGGCTGACCCAGCTGGTGACGAGCCCTACTTTTTTCCCCCGCGTTTCGTCACACGCCAGTAGCCTGCTGGATTTCTTTCTGACCACGCATCCTGCCCCTTACAGCACTGCCGTCCTGTCCCCCCTGGGTAACTCAGATCACGGTGTTGTGGAGGTTAAGTTTCGGTCAGAAGCCGCTGTGGCCGCAGAAACTCGCACAGGCCGCAAAACTTGGCATTACGGACATGCCGACTGGGAGGGGCTCAGAGACTTCTTCTCTAGCTTTCCTTGGAGAGATGTCTGTTTCACTGACGCGGATGCGTCGACTGTCTGTTCTTCAATAACCGAAATTATCCACGTCGGAATGGAGGAA